ACGCCTTGATCCCTTCCCTCCCTCCCTCCTCCCTCCTCGCCTGGGGCTGTTTGGGCGGAGCATCCCCGGAGTATCCCCGCGGTGCATGCTGGGAGTAAGGCTGGAGTAAGGCTGGAGTAGCGCCGGTGTTTGCATGCGCTGGAGCACCCCGGTGTAAGCGCGGAGTATCCCTGGTGTAATTAATGAGTAAAGCCTGGAGGACTTGGGGGGGATGAGCTGAGTAAACCCAGAGTATCCCTGGTGTATTTAATGCCAGGAGTATCACTGGAGTCACCTCCAGCGTGTCCGAGGAGTAGCCATGGAGTAGCCATGGAGTAGCCCAGTGTGTGCAGGCCTGCAGTAAGGCAGGAGTAACCCTGGAGTATTACTGGGACATCCAACAAGTACCCCCAGAGCGTAAAGAGTAACCCTGGAGTATCTCCAGAGTACCTCGAGGAGATACTCAGAGTAAGGAGCACAGCTGGGGGGGGTACCTCCGCTGTGGGCGAGGTAAATCAGGAGTAAACCCTGAGTAAGCCAGGAATAAACCCAGAGTAAGTCAGGAGTATCCCCCGAGTACCCCCACCCTACTCACACCCCGTCCCCCCGCGCATGCCCCCCTCCCCCGCCCACCCGCAACCCTGAGTAAGCTCTGAGTAACCCCTGAGTAACTCCCACCTCCTCCCCCTCCCTCTCTCTACCTCCCATTCTCACGTGAGTATCTCCCGCCCACCCCCTCCCCACGAGTAACCCGTGAGTAACCCATGAGTAACCTATGAGTAAGCTGTGAGTAGGCTGCGAGCAGGGCCGGGCGGTGCTGACGGGGCTGTGTCTCTCTCTCTCTGTGCCGCGGGCAGTGCTGAACCAGCTGGAGGAGCTGCTCAGTGACATGAAGGCGGACGTGACGCGCCTGCCGGCCACGCTGTCCCGCATCCCCCCCATCGCCGCCCGCCTGCAGATGAGCGAGCGCAGCATCCTCAGCCGCCTGGCCAGCAAGGGCACCGAGAGCCACCCCCCGCCCGTGAGTGACACCCTGGGGACACTGTCACCCTGTCACCCTGTCACCCTGTCACCCTGTCACCCTGTGCCCCTGTCACCCTGCCCTGGGGATATCGGCATTGTCACCCTGTCCCCACTATGGCATCCTCAGCCGCCTGGCCAGCAAGGGCACCGAGAGCCACCCCCCGCCCGTGAGTGACCCTTGGGGACATTGCCATTGTCACCTTGTCACACTGCCCCCGGGGATATGGACATTGTCACCCTGTCACATTGCCCCCGGGGATATCGGCATTGTCACCCTGCCCCTGTCCCCACTATGGCATCCTCAGCCGCCTGGCCAGCAAGGGCACCGAGAGCCACCCCCCGCCCGTGAGTGACCCTTGGGGACATTGGCATTGTCACCTTGCCCTGGGGACATTGGCATTGTCACCTTGTCACACTGCCCCCGGGGATATCGGCATTGTCACCCTGTCCCTGGGATATCAGCACTGTCACTCTGCCCCTGTCCCCACTATGGCATCCTCAGCCGCCTGGCCAGCAAGGGCACCGAGAGCCACCCCCCGCCCGTGAGTGACCCTTGGGGACATTGCCATTGTCACCTTGTCACACTGCCCCCGGGGATATGGACATTGTCACCCTGTCACATTGCCCCCGGGGATATCGGCATTGTCACCCTGTGCCCCTGTCCCCACTATGGCATCCTCAGCCGCCTGGCCAGCAAGGGCACCGAGAGCCACCCCCCGCCCGTGAGTGACATCCTGGGGACACTGTCACCCTGGGGACATTGGCATTGTCACCCTGTCACCCTGTGCCCCCGTCACCCTGCCCCCGGGGATATCAGCACTGTCACTCTGCCCCCATGGCATCCTCAGCCGCCCTGGCCAGCAAGGGCACCGAGAGCCACCCCCCGCCCGTGAGTGACCCTTGGGGACACTGTCACCCTGTCACCCTGTGCCCCTGTCACCCTGTGCCCCTGGGGATATGGACATTGTCACCCTGTGCCCCTGTCCCCACTATGGCATCCTCAGCCGCCTGGCCAGCAAGGGCACCGAGAGCCACCCCCCGCCCGTGAGTGACCCCTGGGGACACTGCCACACTGGGGACATTGGCATTGTCACCCTGTCACCCTGTGCCCCCGTCACCCTGCCCCTGGGATATCAGCATTGTCACCCTGTGCCCCTGTCCCCACTATGGCATCCTCAGCCGCCCTGGCCAGCAAGGGCACCGAGAGCCACCCCCCGCCCGTGAGTGACCCCTGGGGACATTGCCATTGTCACACCTTGGGGACACTGTCACCCTGTGCCCCTGTCACCCTGTGCCCCTGTCACCCTGTGCCCCTGTCACCCTGCCCCGGGGATATCAGCACTGTCACCCTGTCACTCTGCCCCCATGGCATCCTCAGCCGCCTGGCCAGCAAGGGCACCGAGAGCCACCCCCCGCCCGTGAGTGACACCTTGGGGACATTGCCATTGTCACACCTTGGGGACACTGTCACCCTGTCACCCTGTGCCCCTGTCACCCTGTGCCCCCGTCACCCTGCCCCGGGGATATCAGCATTGTCACTCTGCCCCCATGGCATCCTCAGCCGCCTGGCCAGCAAGGGCACCGAGAGCCACCCCCCGCCCGTGAGTGACCCCTGGGGACATTGCCATTGTCACCTTGTCACACTGCCCCCGGGGATATTGGCATTGTCACCCTGTCCCCACTATGGCATCCTCAGCCGCCTGGCCAGCAAGGGCACCGAGAGCCACCCCCCGCCCGTGAGTGACCCCTTGGGGACACTGTCACACTGCTCTGGGGACACTGTCACCCTGGGGACATTGTCACCCTGTCACCCTGTGCCCCTGCCACCCTGCCCTGGGAATGTCCCCTGTCCCCACAGGCAGGTGACAGCGTGGGGGTGGCACCAGGAGGTGACATGGGGGGGATGACCCTGGCGGTGACCCTGGCGGTGACCCTGGCGGTGACAGCCATGTCCCTGTCCCCAGAGCTTCCCGCCAGGTCCCTACGCCACCCCCCCGAGCTACGGGGGCACCTTTGGGACCCCCCCGGCCGGAGCCCTCCCCCACCCCGGGGGGGCCAACTACAGCCAGATGCCACCAGGGTCCTTCATCTCCGGTGAGACTGGGGACACTGAGGGGACACTGAGGGGACACTGAGGGGACACTGAGGAGACATTGGGGACAATCGGACATGGGGGTCACAAATGGGGACATCCCCCTCGGGCTGCCAGATGCCACCAGGAGTCACCGAGAGGTCCCTGGGGGTGTTTGGGGGATCCTTGGAGGGGTCATTTGGGGAGGGGTCACTGGGTGGGGGGGGTTGGGGTCACTGAGGGGTCCCAAGGGTGTCACCCATGGGTGGGGGTCTCTGGGTGTGTCTGACCGCCCCCCATTGCTGGTGAAGCTCCCATTGATGGGGGGGTCCCTGGGGGGTTCCCATGGGTGGGGAGGGGTCTCTGGGGGTCCCATGGGTGGGGAGGGGTCTCTGGGGGTCCCATGGGTGGGGAGGGGTCTCTGGGGGTCCCATGGGTCTCTGGGGGTCCCATGGGTGGGTGGGGGTCTCGGAGCCCCTCCTGACGCCCCCATTTTCCATCCCCAGCCTCGAACGGCCCCGTGGTGCTGGTGAAGCGCGAGGGGCTCCCATTGAAGGGGGTGTCCCTGGGGGGTTCCCATGGGTGGGGAGGGGTCTCTGGGGGTCCCATGGGTGGGGAGGGGTCTCTGGGGTTCCCATGGGTGGGTGGGGGTCTCGGAGCCCCTCCTGACCCCCCCATTTTCCATCCCCAGCCTCGAACGGCCCCGCGGTGCTGGTGAAGCGCGAGGCGGAGGCGCTGGAGCAGCAGCGCAAGGAGCCCCGGGGGGGGGAGGTGATTTGCATCGACGACTGAGGGGGGGCGGGGCCTGGGGGGGCCCCGCCCCTCCCCGACCCCCCCAAACCCCTCCCCAACCCCCCCCCCAACCCCCCCCGCCCCCCGAGAGCCCGGCGGGGTGGGGGAGGGGCAGCGCGCGGGGTGGGGGCGGGGCTATAAATACGGAATTCTATAAATATGGATTTATGGGGGGGGAGGGGCGGGGCGGGGGGCGGGGCGCTCCCACCCCTCCCCCCTCCTCCCCCTTCCCCCCCCCCCCCCCCCCCACCGGGCTCGGGCTCGTGATTGGACGGCAGCGAACGAATAAACCCCGGAAACGGCCCTGGCCACGCCCCCCGCCTGCGCCGCGGCCACGCCCCCGGGAAAATGGGGCGTGGTTAATGTGGGGTGGGCGTGGCTATCATGGGGTGGGTGTGGTTTGCATTGAGGTGGGCGTGGATAATGTGGGGATGCGTGGCTACAGTGGGGTGGGCGTGGCTACTATAGGAGTGGGTGTGGCTAAGGTGTAGTGGGCGTGGTTATCATTGGGGTGGGTGTGGCTACTGGGGATGGGCGTGGCAACTGTGGGGATGGACAGCCATCGTGGGGGTGGGCGTGGCTAGTGTGGGGATGAGCATCGTGGGGGTAGGCGTGGCTACCATCAGGATAGGCGTGGCCACCATGGCAGTGGTCACGTGGGGCCGGTGGCTACCAGGACTTGGGGTTTGGCCACTGGTGGGGTGGGCGTGGCTATCGTGGGGGTGGGTGCGGCCACATTTGGGGTGGGCGTGGCTATCGTGGGGGTGGGTGTGGCCACCATGGACTGCTCAGCTTGTGCCCATCATGGCGGTGGCCGGGGGGGTGAGGGAAGTTCCCATTTTTTGAAGCCCTTTTGCGCCGTTTTGCCCAAATTTGGGCGTTTTGGGAGTGCGGGGGCGGAGCTGGAGCACTGAGGGACGATCGAGAGGGGCGCTGGAGGACTGAGCGACACTTCCGGGTCTGCGGAAGAACAATAGAGAGGAGCGGTGGAAGAATGAGCGGAACTTCCGGTTTAACGGAGGAAACCATAGAGAGAACGCGGGAGGACTGAGCGTCACTTCCCGTCCGCTGAACCATAGCGTTAAACCACGTGATCCCGCAGCCCGCTCTGATTGGTGGCCGCGTCGGTGACGAGCGGCTCTCTGAACCAATGAGGAGGCGGGGTGGGCACTGAGGGCGGGGGTCACGTGACCGGAACAGGAAGCGGGAGCGTCGCTATGGTGAGAACAGGGCTGGGGAACTGGGAATGGACTGGGAGGGACTGGGAATGGACTGGGAGGGACTGGGGGGCTCCTGAGGGGTCAATGGGGGGAGGCTCGGGGTGTTACTGGTGCTTACTGGGACGCCAGCGGCCCGTACTGCTTTGTACTGGTTCATACTGGTCCATACTGGTTTATACTGGAGCGGATCCTGAGGGCCACTGGCCCGAACCAGCCCGTAATGGTTTACGGTGGTCTGTAGCGCTCTGCACTAGTTTATACTGGTTTATACTGGTTTATACTGGTTTATACTGGTTCATACTCGTTTATACTGGTTCATACTGGTTCATACTGGTTTGTGCTGGTCGCAGACGGCGGCGCTGACGCAGGGGCTGGAGCGGGTGCCGGCCCAGGCCGGGTACCTCGTCATCAGCGACGGCGCCGTGCTGGCGGTGAGGGACCCCAAAAATGGGGGGCAAAAATCAGGGGACGAGGGAGGAAAAAACTGGGGAAGGGTCCCTAAAAATGGGGGGGAAAAAAACCTGGGGCGGGGTCCCTAAAATTTGGGGGAGGGGCACCCAAAAATTGGGGGAGGAGGATCCAAAAACATGGGGGAAAAAATTGGGGAGGGAGTCCCTGAAATTGGGGGAAAAAATGGAGAATGGGGGTGGAAAAACTAAAGGGGAGGGGTCCCCAAAAATTGGGGAAGGGGGACCCAAAAAATGGGGGAGAAACTGGGGGAGTCCAACTTGTTTTGGGGTCTTAATATTGGGGAAGGGGGGAGCAGAAAATTGGGGGCAAGGGTCCCTAAAAATTGGGGGAGGGGGATTCAAAAAAATGGGGGAAAAAATTGGGGAGGGGTCCCTAAAATTTGGGGGAGGGAGGAGCAGAAAATTGGGGGAGGGTCCCTAAAAATGGGGGGAAAAACTGGGGGAGAGGGGAGGAGAAAATATGGGGGAGGGATCCCTAAAAATTGGGGGTTCCCAGGTGGTTTTTGGGGCATTTTTTGGGGATTTTGCCCTTCTGGGCTCCCCCAGTTGTTTTCGGGATTTTCCCCTGAAAATTCCCAAAAAATTCTGGGGGATCACCAAGAATTTTGGGAATTTTTGGGGGATCCCCAGCTCCTTTTTTAGGGGTTCCCAGCTGCTTTTTGGGGTGATTTTGCTGCATTCCGGTGCCATTTTTTGGGGGGGATTTTTTCCGCTCTGGGTTCACCTGAATTTTTTGGGATTTTCCCCTCAGAATTCCCAAAAATTTTTTGGGATCCTCAAAAATTTAGGGAATTTTTAGGGGTTCTCAGGTGCTTTTGGGGGGGTTCTCAGGTCATTTTTTGGGCTGATTTTGCTGCATTTTGGGCTGATTTTGCCGCATTCCGGTGCCATTTTTTGGGGGGATTTTTCCCCTCTGGGTTCCCCTAAATTTTTTGGGATTTTTCCCTGAGAGTTCCCAACCATTTTGGGGTTCCCCAAACGTGGAATTTTTGCCTGCCCAGTCCTCGGGGGACCTGGAGAACGACGAGCACACGGCCACGGTGCTGCAGGGCCTGGTGGCCACGGCCCTGGGGCTGCGCCTGCCCCGCGGCCACGAGCCGCCCTTCCGCCGCCTCTCGGGTGAGAAACGGCCCCAAAACTGCCAAAAATTGACCCAAAATGGTCCCTAAATGGCCCCACAGCCATGAGCCGCCCTTCTGCCGCCTCTCGGGTGAGAAACGGCCCCAAAATGGCCCCAAAATGTCCATAAACGGCCCCACAGCCATGAGCCGCCCTTCCGCCGCCTCTTGGGTGAGAAACGGCCCCAAAAACGCCAAAAATTGACCCAAAACCGCCCCAAAATGACCCCATGGCCATGAGCCGCCCTTCCGCCGCCTCTCGGGTGAGAAACGGCCCCAAAAACGCCAGAAATGGCCCCAAAACTACCCCAAAATGTCTATAAATGGCCCCACTCCCATGAGCCGCCCTTCCACTGCCTCTCGGGTGAGAAACGGCCCCAAAATGCCCCAAAATAGCCCCAAAATGGCCCCAAAATGTCTATAAATGGCCCCACTCCCATGAGCCGCCCTTCCACCGCCTCTCGGGTGAGAAATGGCCCTAAAACTGCCAAAAATTGACCCAAAATGGCCCCAAAATGACCCCATAGCCATGAGCCGCCCTTCCGCCGCCTCTCGGGTGAGAAACGGCCCCAAAACCACCAAAAATTGACCCCAAATGGCCCCAAAATGTCCATAAATGTCCCCACTCCCATGAGCCGCCCTTCCGCCGCCTCTCGGGTGAGAAACGGCCCCAAAAACGACAAAAATTGACCCAAAATGACCCCAAAATGTCCATAAATGGCCCCACTCCCATGAGCCGCCCTTCTGCCGCCTCTCGGGTGAGAAATGGCCCCAAAACTGCCAAAAATTGACCCCAAATGGCCCCAAAATGTCCATAAATGGCCCCACAGCCATGAGTTGCCCTTCCGCCGCCTCTCGGGTGAGAAACGGCCCCAAAAACGCCAAAATGGCCCTAAATGGCTCTAAATGTACCCAAAACTGCCCCAAAATGGCCCCAAATGTCTCCAAAGTGGCCCCAAAGGGCTCAAAATGGCCCCAAAACAGCCCCAGATGGCCCCAAAATGTCCCTAAATCTCCTTGAATGTCCCCAAAATGGCCCCAAGGTGGTCCTAAGTTGCCCCCAGATGTTCCCCAAAATGTCCCAAAGGGCTCAAAATGGCCCCAGGTGTCCCCAAAGTGTCCCCAAAAGTCCCCAGATGGACTCAAATGACCCCAAAATGGTCCCAAAGGGCTCGAAACGGCCCCAAACCGGTTCCAAAATGTCCCTAAATCTCCTTGAATGTCCCCAAAATGTCCTCAAATGGCCCCACGGCAGGAGTGGCCCTGTCCCCATTGTCCCCAGTGGTGTTTGGTGAGCACTCCCTCCCTGTCACTGTCCCTGGTGGCCCTGGGGACACCGAGGGTGGCCCTGGGGACATTGGGGGTGGCCCTGGGGACACCGAGGGTGGCCCTGTCCCCATTGTCCCCATTGTCCCCAGTGGTGTTTGGTGAGCACTCCCTCCCTGTCACCATCCCTGATGGCTCTGGGGACACCGAGGGTGGCTCTGGGGACATTGGGGGTGGCTCTGGGGACACTGAGGACACCAAGGGTGGCCCTGTCCCCATTGTCCCCGTTGTCCCCAGTGGTGTTTGGTGAGCACTCCCTCCCCTGTCACTGTCCCTGATGGCCCTGGGGACACCGGGGGTGGCTCTGGGGACATTGGGGTGGCTCTAGGGACACCGGGGGTGGCCCTGTCCCCATTGTCCCCGTTGTCCCCATTGTCCCCGTTGTCCCCAGTGGTGTTTGGCGAGCACTCCCTCCCTGTCACTGTCCCTGATGGCCCTGGGGACACCGAGGGTGGCCCTGGGGACATTGGGGGTGGCTCTGGGGACACCGAGGGTGGCCCTGTCCCCATTGTCCCCATTGTCCCCAGTGGTGTTTGGCGAGCACTCCCTCCTCGTCACCGTCTCGGGACAGAAACTCTTCGTGGTCAAGCGCCACCACCACGTCCAGGAGCCGGTGGCCGTGTGAGAAATGTCCCCAAAGGTCCCCAAAGCGTCCCCAGAGGAGGTGGTGGCACCGCCGCCGTGTCCCCCTTCCCGCTGTCCCCAAAGTGTCCCCAGATCCCCCCCGTGGGGACAATAAACAGCGTCCGAGGGCGGCTTCGGTGCTTTGTGACCTCCTTGGGGACACCCGGGTGGCATCGGGTGACAGCCAGGCCACCCCTGGGGACATCCAGGTGACACCAGGTGACATCCAGGTCTCTTTATTGGCAATAAATAACAGGGACAGAGGTGCCACCCTTGTCCCCAATGTCCCCAACCCGGGGGTGGCACTGCAGGCCCCTCCCCTCTCCCCTCACTTTGGCTCGGGGACACTTCCCCGATGTCCCCAAATGTCCCCAAAACCCAAACGTGGGCACGGCTCCAGGCCGTGTCCCCAAAGTGTCCCCAAGGTGTCCCCTCCATGGCACGTGGCAGTGGCAGCGACCCCCCCCGCGTTGTCCCCAATGTCCCCAAAGTGTCCCCAAGGCTCTGGGGGTGGCTCTGTCCCCTTGGTCCCTGTCCCCAATGTCCCCAAAGTGTCCCCAAGGCTCTGGGGGTGGCTCTGTCCCCTTGGTCCCTGTCCCCAATGTCCCCAAAGTGTCCCCAAGGCTCTGGGGGTGGCTCTGTCCCCTTGGTCCCCGTCCCTGGCACACTGGGGACACTGAGGGTGGCTCTGTCCCCATTGTCCTGAAGATGGCACTGGGGGTGGCCCTGTCCCCTTGGTCCCTGTCCCCAATGTCCCCAAGGCCCTGGAAGTGGCCCTGAGGCTCTGGGGACACCGGGGGTGGCCTTGTCCCCATTGTCCCCCTGTCCCCACTGTCCCAGAGCCGTCCCTGCCACTCTGGCCATGTCCCCACGCTGTCCCCTCGCTGTCCCCCATTGTCCCCATGCTGTCCCCACATTGTCCCTGCACTGTCCTGTCCATGTCCCCCACTGTCCCCTCGCTGTCCCTCACTGTCCCCACTGTTCCACGTTGTCCCCTCATTGTCCCTTGCTGTCCCCCACTGTCCCCCCATGCTGTCCCCCTGCTATCCCCTCATTGTCCCCCTCATTGTCCCCTCACTCTCCTCACATTGTCCCCTCATTGTCCCCCTGTTGTGCCCCTGCTGTCCCCTCATTGTCCCCACCCTGTCCTGTTCTGTCCCCTGTTATCCCCACGTTGTCCCCTCGTTGTCCCCCCGCTGTCACCTCATTGTCCCCTCGCTGTCCCCCTGCTATCCCCACCCTGTCCCCCCGTTGTCCTGTTCTGTCCCCACCCTGTCCCCCCGTTGTCCCCCCGTTGTCCCCTCGTTGTCCCCCCGCTGTCACTTGACGGGTGGCACCACGAGCACCTTGCACTCCCTCTTGGCGATCTTGTCCAGGGCCAGCACGGCTTTGTCACCTGCGGGCAGGTACAGGGGCCGGCCCACGGGGGACCCCACCGGGGGGGTGATGGCCCTGCGCTCCATCACGCTGCCAGACCTGGGGACAGTGACAGCAGTGTCACCTCAGTGTCACCTCTGTGACCTCAGTGTCACCTGTGTCACCTCAGTGTCACCTACAGTGTCCCTGTGTCACCCCGGGGTGATGGCCCTGCGCTCCATCACGCTGCCAGACCTGGGGACAGCAATGTCACCTGTGTCACCTGTGTGTCACCTGTGTCACCTGTGTGTCACCTACAGTGTCCCTGTGTCACCTACAGTGTCCCTGTAACAGCCCCAGTGTCCCTGTGTCACCCTGGGGTGATGGCCCTGCGCTCCATCACGCTGCCGGACCTGGGGACAGGGACATCTTAGTGTCACCTCAGTGTCACCTGTGTCACCTCAGTGTCACCTGTGTCACCTCTGTGTCACCTACAGTGTCACCTGTGTCACCTACAGTGTCCCTGTGTCACCTGTGTCACCTACAGTGTCCCTGTGTCACCCCGGGGTGATGGCCCTGCGCTCCATCACGCTGCCGGACCTGGGGACACCAGTGTCACCTGTGTCACCTCTGTGTCACCTACAGTGTCCCTGTGTCACCTGTGTGTCATCTACAGTGTCCCTGTGTCACCCTGGGGTGATGGCCCTGCGCTCCATCACGCTGCCGGACCTGGGGACAGGGACATCTCAGTGTCACCTCAGTGTCACCTGTGTCACCTACAGTGTCCCTGTGTCATCTACAGTGTCCCTGTAACAGCCCCAGTGTCCCTGTGTCACCCCGGGGTGATGGCCCTGCGCTCCATCACGCTGCCGGACCTGGGGACACCAGTGTCACCTCTGTGTCACCTACAGTGTCCTTGTGTCACCTGTGTCACCTACAGTGTCCCTGTGTCACCTACAGTGTCCCTGTAACAGCCCCAGTGTCCCTGTGTCACCTACAGTGTCCCTGTGTCACCTGTGTGTCACCTACAGTGTCCCTGTGTCACCCTGGGGTGATGGCCCTGCGCTCCATCACGCTGCCGGACCTGGGGACAGCAATGTCACCTCAGTGTCACCTGTGTCACCTGTGTCACCTACAGTGTCCCTGTGTCAGTTACAGTGTCCCTGTAACAGCCCCAGTGTCCCTGTGTCACATCCCAGTCCCTCTCAGTACCCTCAGTGTCCCTCCCAGTCCCTCCCAGTGCTCCCCCAATCCCTCCCAGTACCCCCAAATCCTCATCCCAATAACTCCCAGTCCCTCCCAGTATCCCAAAACCCCCTCCCAGTCCCTCCCAGTATCCCAAACCTTATCCCAGTCCCTCCAAACCTTATCCCAGTCCCTCCCAGCACCCTGAAACGTTATCCCAGTCCCTCCAGTGCCCCCAAACCCCCTCCCAGTCCCTTCCCAGTCCCTTCCCAGTACCTCCCAGTACCCCAAAATGGTATCCCAGTGCCCCCAAACCTTATCCCAGCGTCCCCAAACCGTATCCCAGTCCCTCCCAGTCCCTCCCAGTGCCCCCAAACCTTATCCCAGTCCCCTCCCAGTCCCTCCAAACCTTATCCCAGTCCCTCCAAACCTTATCCCAGTCCCTCCAAACCTTATCCCAGTCCCCTCCCAGCACCCCCAAACCTTATCCCAGTCCCCTCCCAGTCCCTCCAAACCTTATCCCAGTCCCTCCCAGCACCCCCAAACATTATCCCAGTCCCTCCCAGTCCCTCCAAACCTTATCCCAGTCCCTCCCAGCACCCCCAAACGTTATCCCAGTCCCTCCCAGTGCCCTCCCAGTGCCTCCCAGTCCCTCCCAGTACCTCATGAGGTGGCTGCGCGCCGGCTGCTGGTGGGAGAAGGACTGGGAGCGGCCCAGGCCGGCCACGAGCTCGCGCACGGCCGGGGAGCTGGGGCTGCTCTTGCGCGACACCGGGCGCGCCTCGGGCGGGGCGCTGCTGACGCTGGCCGTGAACTGCAGCTTCAGCTTCATGTGCTGCGACAGCTGGGACACACTGGGGTTACTGGGAGGGACTGGGAGACACTGGGAGGGACTGGGAGGGACTGGGAAACACTGGGAGGCACTGGGAGGGACTGGGAGTTACAGGGAGCCATTGGGAGGGAGCACTGGGGGAGCTTTGGGGAGGATCTGGGGCACTCGGAGGGGATTTGGGGGCACTGGGAAGGACTGGGCGGGCACTGGGAGGGCACTGGGATATACTGGGAGTTACTGGGAGGGAGTTCTGGGATACTGGGAATTACTGGGCTGGGATTTTAGGGGCACTGGGAAACACTGGGAGGGACTGGGAAACACTGGGAGACACTGGGAGTCAGCACTGGGGGAGCTTTGGGGAGGATCTGGGGGCACTGGAAGGGGATTTGGGGGCACTGGGAGGGCACTGAGATATACTGGGAGTTACTGGGAGGGAGTTCTGGGATACTGGAGTTACTGGGCTGGGATTTTAGGGGCACTGGGAGGCACTGGGAGGAGCTGGGGCTGCTCTTGCGCGACACCGGGCGCGCCTCGGGCGGGGCGCTGCTGACGCTGGCCGTGAACTGCAGCTTCAGCTTCATGTGCTGCGACAGCTGGGACACACTGGGGGTACTGGGAGGCACTGGGAGACACTGGGAGGGCACTGGGAGGGCACTGGGAAACACTGGGAGGGACTGGGAGACAGTGGGAAACACTGGGAGGGACTGGGAGGGACTGGGAGTTACCGGGAGTTACAGGGAGCCATTGGGAGGGAGCACTGGCGGAGCTTTGGGGAGGATTTGGGGCACTGGGAGGGGATTTGGGGGCACTGGGATGTACTGGGAGTTACTGGGAGGGAGTTCTGGGATACTGGAGTTACTGGGCTGGGATTTTAGGGGCACTGGGAGGCACTGGGAGGGACTGGGAGGAGCTGGGGCTGCTCTTGCGCGACACCGGGCGCGCCTCGGGCGGGGCGCTGCTGACGCTGGCCGTGAACTGCAGCTTCAGCTTCATGTGCTGCGACAGCTGGGACACGCTGGGGTTACTGGGAGGGACTGGGAGACACTGGGAGGGACTGGGAGGGACTGGGAGACACTGGGAGGCACTGGGAGGGACTGGGAGTTACTGGGAGTTACAGGGAGCCATTGGGAGTCAGCACTGGGGAAGCTTTGGGGAGGATCTGAGGCACTGGGAGGGGATTTGGGGGCACTGGGAAGGACTGGGAGGGCACCGGGATATACTGGGAGTTACTGGGAGGGAGTTGTGGGATACTGGGAGTTACTGGGCTGGGATTTTAGGGGCACTGGGAGGGACTGGGAGAGACTGGGGGTTACTGGGAGGGACTGGGAGCCATTGGGAGGGAGCACTGGGGGAGCTTTGGGGCACTGGGAGGGCACTGGGAGGGACTCAGAAGGCACTGGGAGCCACTGGGAGGGACTGGGAGTGCACTGGGAGTTACTGGGAGTTACTGGGATGGGGTTTTAGAGCGACTGGGAGGGACTGGGAGCAACTGGGATGAGACTGGGATGGAGTTTTTGGGGCACTGGGAGTTACCGGCACTGACTAGGAGAGAGTTTTGGGGGCACTGGGATGTACTGGGATGTACTGGGATGTACTGGGAGACACTGGGAGGGAGTTTAGGGGCACTGGGAGGGACTGGGAAGGCACTGGGAGAGACTGGGAGGGACTGGGAGGGTGACACTGGGGGTGGCACTGGGAGTACTGGGGTGACACAGGTGACACCGGGGGTGGCACTGACCTTGAAGAGCCCGGCCCGCAGCGCCTGGAATGGGGATACTGGGGATACTGGGGATACTGGGGATACTGGGGATACTGGGAATGGGATAACGACGGGGTAACGGGGCCGGGGGTGGCACTGGGGTGACAGGGGTGACACTGGGGTGACACAGGTGACAGAGGTGACACTGAGGGTGACACTGACCTCGAAGAGCCCGGCCCGCAGTGCCTGGAATGGGGATACTGGGGATACTGGGGATACTGGGGATACTGGGGATACTGGGGATGGGATAACGATGGGGATAACGGGGCCGGGGGTGGCACTGGGGTGACACAGGTGACACAGGTGACACAGGGGTGGCACTGACCTCGAAGAGCCCGGCCCGCAGTGCCTGGAATGGGGATACTGGGGATACTGGGAACACTGGGAATGGGATAACGATGGGGATAACGGGGCCGGGGGTGGCACAGATGGCACTGGGGTGGCACTGGTGACACCGGGGGTGACACAGGTGACACAGGGGTGGCACTGACCTCGAAGAGCCCGGCCCGCAGTGCCTGGAAGGCCACCCGGAAGGTGCGGGCGCTGCCCTTGCGGGAGTAGCCCAGGTTGGTCAGGGGCGTGTGGCAAACGACCGAGTCCAGGGAGCCCCGGGAGCGGCCTGAGCGCGGAACGTTCCGGAAAGGCAGCGAGGGACGGGGGTTTAAGGGGGATTTTGGGGGGTTTTTTTTGGAATTTTGGGGAATTTTTAGGGATTTTTGAGGGAATTTTTTGGGAATTTTTTGGAGAATTTTTGGGAATTTCTGGGATTTTTAAGGGAATTTTTTTGATTTTTTTGGGAAATTTCGGGGAGTTTTTTGGGGATTTTTTGGGGAATTTTTTGGGAATTTTTTGGAGAATTTTTTGGGGGGGGTTTCAGGATTTTGGGGGATTTTTGGGGATTTTTTGGGAGTTTGGGGGGAATTTTGGGGATTTTTGGGGAATTTTTGGGGGAATCTTTTTGGGATTTTGGGGGGATTTTGGGGGGATTTTTTGGGGAATTTTTGGACTTTTTTGCGGGAATTTTTTAGGGATTTTTTGGGGGAATTTTGGGGATTTTGGGGGGGATTTTTTCAGGATTTTGAGGGAATTTTTTGGTAATTTTTTGGAGAATTTTTGGGATTTTTTGGGGGGATTTTTTCAGGATTTTGGGGAAATTTTTTGGGGATTTTTTGGGGATTTTTGGAGGGGATTTTTGGAGAAATTTTTGGGGGATATTTTGGGTTTTTTGGGGGGATTTTGGGTTTTTTTTTTTTGGGGAGATTTTTTGAGGATTTTTGGGGAATTTTTTGGGGATTTTTGGGATTTTTTTGGGGGATTTTTTAGGCGTTGGGGTTCTCTCCTTGTCCCTACGTCCCCTCCCTGTCCCTTTGTCCCCTCCTTGTCCCCTTTATCCCCATCTCCCTTTTATCCCCCAAGTGTCCCCAGTGTCCCCAAAGTCCCCAGATGTCCCCAAATCCCCAATGTCCCCAATCCCCCCAACGTCCCCAATCCCCCCAATGTCCCCAATCCCCCCAACATCCCCAATGTCCCCAATGTCCCCACCAGCGGTGGCCTCGGGTGTCCAGACCAGCCGGACGGCCAGGAAGTCCTGCAGGTCCCCAATGTCCCCAATCCCTCCAATGTCCCCAAATCCCCCCAGTGTCCCCAATCCCCCCAACGTCCCCAATGTCCCCAACGTCCCCAAGTGTCCCGACCAGCCGGACAGGCAGGAAGTCCTGCAGGTCCCCAATGTCCCCAAACCCCCCTGGTGTCCCCAATCCCCCCAATGCCCCCAATGTCCCCAGGTGTCCCCAACGTCCCCAGTCCCCCCAACGTCCCCAATGTCCCCAATGTCCTAAATCCCCCCAACGTCCCCAATGTCCCCAATCCCCCCAACGTCCCCAATGTCCCCAACGCCCCCAATCCCCCCAATGTCCCCAATGTCCCCAATGTCCCCACCGGCGGTGGCCTCGGGTGTCCAGACCAGCCGGACGGCCAGGAAGTCCTGCAGGTCGTTGAGCAGGGTGTAGGTGACCGTGAAGCGCTGCAGGGCCACCACCGGGGACTCGCAGGTGGCCGTCATGACAAAGCGCGGCCGCTCCAGACGGATGCTGGGCAGCCTGAGGGGACAGCGGGGACATCGAGGGGACATCGCGGGGACATCGAGGGGACACCTCTGGGGGAGCTCCAGGGAGCTCCGGGGATGTGGTGGCACTGGGACAATGAGGGGACAGGAGGTGGTGGCACATTCAGAGGTGGCTCTGGGCAACCAGGAGGGTCTGGAGGGCTTGGGGACATCATGGGGACATCGAGGTGGCATCGCGGGGACACCTCTGGAGGAGCTCCAGGGAGCTCTGGGGATGTGGTGGCACTGGGACAATGAGGGGACAGGAGGTGGTGGCACATTCAGAGGTGGCTCTGGGCAACAAGGAGGGTCTGGAGGGCTTGGGGACATCGTGGGGACATCGTGGGGACATCGTGGGGACACCTCTGGAGGAGCTCCAGAGAGCTCTGGGGATGTGGTGGCATTGGGACAATGAGGGGACAGGAGGTGGTGGCACATGCAGAAGAAGCCAGGAGGGTCTGGAGGGCTTGGGGACACCGGGGACATTGAGGTGACATCTTGGGGACAATCCCAGAGAAGATCCAGAGAGCTCTGGGGACATGGTGGCACTGGGACAGGAGGTGGTGGCACATGGAGAGGCCACCAGGAGGGTCTGGAGGGCTTGGGGACATCGTGGGGACATCATGGGGACATCGAGGTAGCATCGCGGGGACAATCCCAGAGAAGATCCAGAGAGCTCTGGGGACATGGTGGCACTGGGACAGGAGGTGGTGGCACATGGAGAGGCCACCAGGAGGGTCTGGAGGGCTTGGGGACATCATGGGGACATCATGGAGACATCGAGGTGGCATCTCAGGGACAATCCCAGAGAAGATCCAGAGAGCTCCGGGGATGTGGTGGCACTGGGACAATGAGGGGACAGAGGTGGTGGCACATGCAGAAGAAGCCAGGAGGGTCTGGAGGGCTTGGTGACATCATGGGGACATTGGGGACATGGAGGTGGCATCATGTGACAACCCCAGAGGAGCCCCAAAGGGCCACAAGGACGTGGTGGCACTGGGACAGGAGGTGGCATTGATGGGACAGGAGGTGGTGGCACATGGAGAGGCCACCAGGAGGGTCTGGAGAGCTTGGGGACATCATGGGGACATCGAGGTGGCATCACAGGGACAATCCCAGAGAAGATCCAGAGAGCTCTGGGAATGTGGTGGCACTGGGACAAATGAGGTGACAATGAGGGGACAGAGGTGGTGGCACATTCAGAGGTGGCTCTGGGCAACAAGGAAGGTCTGGAGGGCTTGGGGACATCACGGGGACATCACGGGGACATCGAGGTGGCATCGTGGGAAAGTCCAGAAAGGAGCCAAAGAACGTTGGGAGGATGGAAGGACACGGGGACAACGAGGGGACAACAACGAGGGGACAACAACGAGGGGACAGCAACGAGGTGGTGGCACCACAGGAGGTTCTGGAGGCCTTGGGGACACCGAGGTGACACCGAGGTGACACTGAGGTGACAGGGAGGTGGCACTCACCGGTAGTGGGTGACGATGCTGTTGGTGAACGGCAGCTTCGGCGTCGACCACCGCACCACGGCCACCAGCGGCACCTCCAGGCCCTGCTTGGGGACATCGCTGTCACCGCGGTGTCACCCGCGGTGGCCTCCATGTCCCCAACGTCCCCAGGGCCACCGGGGATTGTCACCAAGCCCGGGGACAGCACGGTCAGGGGGGCTTGGTGGCATCTTGGGGGGCTTGGATTGGGTTGGTGGCCTTTGATTGTTGTCCCCAAGGCCACCCAAAGTGTCCCCAACCCCGACTTGGGGACACTTTTGGTGCCACCAAGTGGAACAAAGCCCCTCGGCCCAGCCTGGTGGCCCTTGATCAATGTCCCCAGGTGTCCCCAAGTGTCCCCAGGTGTCCCCAACCCCGACTTGGGGACACTTTTGGTGCCACCAAGGTGGAACAAAGCCCCTTGGCCCAGCCTGGTGGCCCTCGATGGTTGTCCCCAAGTGTCCCCAAGGCCCCCCAGGTGTCCCCAAGGCCCCCAGATACCCCCAGAAACTCAACCTGGGGACACTTTTGGTGCCACCAAGGTGGAACAAATCCCCTTGGCTGAGCCTGGTGGCCCTTGATGGTTGTCCCCAGGTGTCCCCAAGTGTCCCCAGATACCCCCAGGAACTCAACCTGGGGACAGTTTTGGTGCCACCAAGGTGCCACAAAGCCCCTTGGCCCAGCCTGGTGGCCCTGGGTCATTGTCCCCAGGTGTCCCCAAGGCCCCCCAGGTGTCCCCAACCCCGACTTGGGGACACTTTTAGTGCCACCAAGGCAGGACAAATCCCCTTGGCCCATCCCGGTGGCCCTCGATGGTTGTCCCCAAGTGTCCCCAAGGTGTCCCCAGTGTCCCCTCACCTCCTTGGCGTCGCGGGGCGGCCGCTCGGGCGCCTGCAGCTGGAACAGGAAGTTCTGCTCCTCCAGGGCGCTCAGGGGACACGGCCACCGCGAGTGGCACCCGGGGACGCGGCAGAACGCCCCCACGGGCACCTCCCCCGAGTGGTGGCTGCCAGGGGACAGCACGGACACTCAGGGGACACTCGGGGGACACTCGGGGGACACTCGGGGGACACTCAGGGGACAGTGGGGACACTCGGGGGACACTCGGGGGACAGTGGGGACATGTCACATCCCCAAGGTCCCCACGGTGTCCCCCATGGTCCCCACAGTGTCGCCAAGGTGACAGCATTGTCCCCAAGGTCCCTGCATTGTCCCCAAGGCCCCCACATTGTCCCCAAGGTCACAGCACTGTCCCCAAGCTGTCCCCACATTGTCCCCATGGTTCTCATCATGTCCCCAAGGTCCTCATAGTGTCCCCAAGAGCCCCACATTGTCCTGAAGGTCCTCACGGGGTCCCCAAGGTCCCCACATTGTCCCCAAGGTCCTCATGGCATCCCCAAGGTCCCCACATTGTCCCCAAGGCCCCCACATTGTCCCCAGGGTCCCCAGATTGTCCCCAAGGTCACAGCACTGTCCCCAAGCTGTCCCCACATTGTCCCCATGGTTCTCATCATGTCCCCAAGACCCCTGCATTGTCCCCAAGACCCCTGCATTGTCCCCAAGGTCACCGCATTGTCCCCAAGGTGTCCCCATATTGTCCCCAAGGTCCTCATGGCATCCCCAAGGTCTCCACATTGTCCCCATGGTTCTCATCATGTCCCCAAGGTCCTCATAGTGTCCCCAAGGTCACAGCATTGTCCCCAAGGTGTCCCCACATTGTCCCCAAGGTGTCCTCACAGTGTCCCCAAGGTCGCAGCATTGTCCCCAAGGTCCTCACGGTGTCCCCAAGAGCCCTACACTGTCCCCAACCTCTCCACGTTGTCCCCAAGGTCCCCACATTGTCCCCAAGGTCACAGCATTGTCCCCAAGGTGTCCCCACATTGTCCCCAGTGTGATCACGGCACCCCCCAAGGTCCCCACATTGTCCTGAAGGTCCTCATGGTGTCCCCAAGGTCACAGCATTGTCCCCAAGGTCCTCACGGTGTCCCCAAGAGTCCTACACTGTCCCCAAGGTCCCCACTTTGTCCCCAAGGTCACAGCATTGTCCCAAACGTCCTCATGGCATCCCCAAGGTCCCCACATTGTCCCCATGGTCCCCACTTTGTCCCCAAGGTCTCCACGCTGTCCCCAAGGTCACAGCATTGTCCCCAAGGTCCTCATGGTGTCGCCAAGAGCCCCACAGTGTCCCCAAGGTCACAGCATTGTCCCCCAGGTGTCCCCACACATCCCCAAGGTCCCCACATTGTCCCGAAGGTCCTCACGGTGTCCCCAAGGTCGCAGCATTGTCCCCAAGGTCCCCACTTTGTCCCCAAGGTCTCCACGCTGTCCCCAAGGTCACAGCATTGTCCCCATGGTCCCCACATTGTCCCCAAGGTCACAGCATTGTCCCCAAGGTGTCCCCACATTGTCCCCAGTGTGATCATGGCATCCCCAAGGTCTCCATTTTGTCTCCAAGGTCTCCACGTTGTCCCCAAGGTCACAGCATTGTCCCAAACGTCCTCATGGCATCCCCAAGGTCCCCACATTGTCCTGAAGGTCCTCACGGTGTCCCCAAGGTCGCAGCATTGTCCCCAAGGTCCCCACACTGTCCCCAAGGTGTCCCCAGGTGCCCCCACATTGTCCCCAAGGTGTCCGCAGCTGCCCCCGAGGTGTCCCCAAGTGTCCCCAAGGTGTCCCCAGGCTCACCAGACGTCGTCCACGAGCAGCACGGAGCCGTCGGGCATCACGGGCAGGTAACTGGCGTTGAAATTGGGCAGCACCTGCACGTCCCACAGGGACAGCTCCTCCTGGGAACTGCCATTGAGCACTGGGGACATCATTGGGGACATCATTGGGGACATTGGGGACAATGGGGACATCCAGGGGATTGGGGACATTGGGGACATGGGGCAGCACCTGCACGTCCCACAGGGACAGCTCCTCCTGGGAACTGCCATTGAGCACTGGGGACAGTGGGGACATCATTGGGGACATTGGGGTCATCATTGGGGACATTGGGGACATCCAGGGGATTGGGGACATTGGGCAGCACCTGCACGTCCCACAGGGAGAGCTCCTCCTGGGAACTGCCATTGAGCACTGGGGACATCATTGGGGACATCATTGGGGACATTGGGGACATCCAGGGGATTGGGGACATCCAGGGGATTGGGGACATTGGGGACATCCAGGGCATTGGGGACAATGGGGACACTGGGCAGCACCTGCACGTCCCAGAGGGACAGCTCCTCCTGGGAACTGCCATTGAGCACTGGGGACATCCAGGGGATTGGGGACATTGGGGACATCCAGGGGATTGGGGACATCCAGGGCATTGGGGACAATGGGGACATCCAGGGGATTGGGGACATTGGGGACATTGGGCAGCACCTGCACGTCCCAGAGGGACAGCTCCTCCTGGGACGAGCCATTGAGCACTGGGGACAGTGGGGACACCATTGGGGACACTGGGGACATCCAGGGGATTGGGGACATCGGGGACATCAGGGACATCCAGGGCATTGGGCAGCACCTGCACGTCCCAGAGGGACAGCTCCTCCTGGGAACTGCCATTGAGCACTGGGGACATCGGGGACATCATTGGGGACATTGGGGACATCCAGGGGATTGGGGACATCCAGGGGATTGGGGACAATGGGGACATCCAGGGGATTGGGGACATGGGGCAGCACCTGCACGTCCCACAGGGACAGCTCCTCCTGGGAACTGCCATTGAGCACTGGGGACATCAGGGACATCATTGGGGACATCATTGGGGACATCAGGGACATCCAGGGGATTGGGGACATTGGGGACATTGGGCAGCACCTGCACGTCCCACAGGGACAGCTCCTCCTGGGAGCTGCCATTGAGCACTGGGGACAGTGGGGACACCATTGAGGACAGTGGGGACACCATTGAGGACATTGGCGACATCGGGGACATCCAGGGCATCAGGGGGCTTGGGGACATTTGCAGGGTTGGGGACATCGAGGGCATCGGGGACATCACTGGGGACATCAGGGCATTGAGGACATTGAGGGGATTGGGGACATCAGGGACAATTGGGGACACCGGGGGTCATCAGCGACATCAGGGGTGACCCTTCCCCCTTTTCCCCCCCCACCCTCTTTGTCCCCAAACCCCCCAAATGTCCCCAACACCCCCAATGTCCCCAACCCCCCAATGTCCCCAGCTGTCCCCAACCCCCCCAAATGTCCCCAACCCCCCAAATGTCCCCAACCCCCCCGATGTCCCCAGGTGTCCCCAGGTGTCACCTTTGAGCACGGTCAGGTACTTTCCGGACACGGTCACCTGGCGGCAGCGGACACGGGGCGGTGGCAGCACCGTCAGCAGCGTGGACACTGTGGGGACACCAGGGGACACTTGGGGACAGCCAGGGGACACTTGGGGACAGCCAGGGGACACTTGGGGACAGCCAGCCAGGGCCACCGGGCTGGGCCGAGGGGCTTTGTCCCACCTTGGTGGCACCAGAAGTGTCCCCAGATTGGGGTTGGGGACAATCCGTGGGGGTCCCTGAGGGAATGGGGTGGCTTTGGGCAGGGGACACTTTGGGGACATCTGGGGACATTTGGGGACCTCAGCTTGTGCCTTGAAGGCTCCATGGGGACACCTGGGGGTGGCACTGAGGGGACACTTGGGGACACCAGAGGAGGGGAGGTGACACCTCGGGGACACTTGGGGACCTCACCTTGTGCCTTGAAGGCTCCATGGGGACACTGAGGGGACACTTGGGGGTGGCACCATGGGGGAGGTGACACTTGGGGACATTTGGGGACCTCACCTTGTGCCTTGAAGGCTCCATGGGGACACCCAGGGGATACCTGGGGGTGGCACCATGGGGGAGGTGACACCTTGGGGACACTCAGGGACGCCAGAGGAGGGGAGGTGACACCTTGGGGACACCTTGGGGACATTTGGGGACCTCACCTTGTGCCTTGAAGGCTCCATGGGGACACCTGGGGGTGGCACCATGGGGGAGGTGACACTTGGGGACACTCAGGGGACACTTGGGGACGCTAGAGGAGGGGAGGTGACACCTTGGGGACACTTGGGGACCTCACCTTGTGCCTTGAAGGCTCCATAGGGACACTCAGGGGACACTTGGGGGTGGCACCTTGGGGGAGGTGACACTTGGGGACACTCAGGAATGCTAGAGGAGGGGAGGTGACACCTTGGGGACACTTTGGGGACCTCACCTTGTGCCTTAAAGGCTCCATGGCGACACCTGGGGGTGGCACTGAGGGGACACTTGAGGACACCAGAGGAGGGGAGGTGACACCTTGGGGACATTTGGGGACCTCACCTTGTGCCTTGAAGGCTCCACGGGGACACTCAGGGGACACCTGGGGATGGCACCATGGGGGAGGTGACACTTTGGGACACTCAGGGGACACCAGAGGAGGGGAGGTGACACCTTGGGGACACTTGGGGACATTTGGGGACCTCACCTTGTGCCTTGAAGGCTCCATGGAGATACCTGGGGGTGGCAGCACTGGGGAAGGGACACTTGGGGACACTAGAGGAGGGGAGGTGACACCTTGGGGACACTTGGGGACCTCACCTTGTGCCTTGAAGGCTCCGTGCTGCTGCCGGAACACCTGGCCGGGGGCGCGGCCCTGGAGCAGCCTCAGGTACCCCCCTGGCCCTGGCCCTGTCCCTGTCGTTGTCACCTGGCCTGGCCCTGTCCCTGTCCCTGTCACCTGGCCTGGCTCTGGCCCTGGCCCTGTCCCCTCCTGCAGCTCCGGTGGCTCCGTGTCCCGCTGCCACACGGTCACCACGATCTGGGGACACCACGGGGACACCACGGGGTCACCAAAGCGTCCCCAGGGTGTCCCCTAAGGTCCCTTCCCCGTCCCATTCCCGATGTCCCCAATTGTCCCCAAAGCGTCCCCAGGGTGTCCCCTAAGGTCCCTTCCCTGTCCCATTCCCGATGTCCCCAATTGTCCCCAAAGCGTCCCCAAGGTGTCCCCTAAGGTCCCTTCCCCATCCCATTCCTGATGTCCCCAAAGTGTCCCCAAGGTCCCTCCCCATCCCATTCCCAATGTCCCCAAGGTGTCCCCAAAGTGTCCCTAAGGTCCCTTCCCCATCCCATTCCCGATGTCCCCTCACTGTCCCCAAAGTGTCCCCAAGGTCCCTCCCCATCCCATTCCCAATGTCCCCAAAGTGTCCCCAAGGTGTCCCCAAGGTCCCTCCCAATCCCATTCCCGATGTCCCCAAGATGTCCCCAAGGTCCCTCCCGATCCCATTCCCAATGTCCCCAAGGTGTCCCCAAAGTGTCCCCAAGGTCCCTCCCAATCCCATTCCCAATGTCCCCAAGGTGTCCCCAAGATGTCCCCAAAGTGTCCCCAAGGTGTCCCCAAGGTCCCGCCCCATCCCATTCCCAATGTCCCCAAGGTGTCCCCAAGGTGTCCCCAATGTCCCCAAGGCCCATCCCATTCCCGATGTCCCCAAGGTGTCCCAAATATGTCCCCACATTGTCCCCAAAAATGTCCCCAGAGTCCCTCCCCGTCCCATTCCTGTTGTCCCCAAAGTCCCCTCATTGTCCCCAAGGCCCCTCCCATTCTCAATGTCCCCAACTGTCCCCAAATATCCCCAAGGTGTCCCCAAAGTGTCCTAAAAGTCCCTCCCCATCCCATTCCCACTGTCCCCAAGGTGTCCCCAATGTCCCCAAGGTGTCCCCAATGTCCCCAAGGCCCATCCCATTCCCAATGTCCCCAAATGTCCCCAAATGTCCCCAAATGTCCCCACCTTGGCCTTGGCGGTGCCGGGCGGGAGCCGGTCCAGGGCCACGGTGAGGGGGAAAATGACCTCGTCCTGAGAGATGATGGGATCGTCCACAGGGAGCTGGGAAAATGGGGAGAAAAACAGGGAAATTGGGAAAAATGGGGAAAAAAATGGGAAAAAAATGGGAAAAAATGGGAAAAAAATGGGGAAAAACAGGGAAAAAATGGGGGGGAAAATGGGAAAAATCAATGGGGAAATGACCTCGTCCTGAGAGATGATGGGATTGTCCATAGGGAGCTGGGAAAATGGGGAGAAAAACAGGGAAATTGGGAAAAATGGGGAAAAATGGGAAAAAATGGGAAAAAAATGGGAAAAAAAATGGGAAAATTGAGAAAAAATGGGGGAAAAATTGGGGGAAAATGGGGAAAATCAATGGGGAAATGACCTTGTCTTGAGAGATAATGGGATTGTCCACAGGGAGCTGGGAAAATGGGGAGAAAAACAGGGAAATTGGGAAAAATGGGGAAAAATGGGAAAAAATGGGAAAAAATGGGAAAAACAGGGAAAAAATGGGGGAAATGGGGAAAATCAATGGGGAAATGACCTCATCTTGAGAGATAATGGGATCATCCATGGGGAGCTGGGGAAATGGGGAGAAAAACAGGGAAATTGGGAAAAAAATGGGAAAAAAATGGGAAAAATGGGAAAAAAATGGGAAAAAAAATGGGAAAATTGAGAAAAAATGGGGGAAAAATTGGGGGAAAATGGGGGAAAATCAATGGGGAAATGACCTCGTCCTGAGAGATGATGGGATCGTCCACAGGGAGCTGGGAAAATGGGGAGAAAAACAGGGAAATTGGGAAAAATGGGAAAAAATGGGAAAAAAATGGGAAAAAATGGGAAAAAAACGGGGAAAAAATGGGGGGAAAATCAATGGGGAAATGACCTCATCTTGAGAGATGATGGGATCGTCCACAGGGAGCTGGGAAAATGGGGAGAAAAACAGGGAAATTGGGAAAAATGGGGAAAGATGGGAAAAAAATGGGAAAAAATGGGGAAAAAATGGGAAAAAATGGGGGAAAAAAATGGGGGAAAATGGGGAAAATGAATGGGGAAATGACCTTGTCTTGAGAGATGATGGGATCATCCACAGGGAGCTGGGAAAATGGGGAGAAAAACAGGGAAATTGGGAAAAATGGGGAAAAATGGGAAAAAAAAAGGGAAAAAAATGGGGAAAAATGGGAAAAAACGGGGAAAAAATGGGGGAAAATCAATGGGGGAAATGACCTCGTTTTGAGAGATTATGGGATTGTCCACAGGGAGCTGGGAAAATGGGGAGAAAAACAGGGAAATTGGGAAAAATGGGAAAAAATGGGGAAAAAGGGGAAAAAATGGGGAAAAAATGGGGAAAAATGGGGAAAAATGGGAAAAAATGGGGGAAAAATGGGGGAAAATGGGAAAAATCAATGGGGAAATGACCTCATCTTGAGAGATGATGGGATCGTCCACGGGGAGCTGGGAAAATGGGGAGGAAAAACAGGGAAATTGGGAAAAAACAGGGAAAAAATGGGAAAAAAAATGGGGAAAAAATGGGAAAAAATTGGGGAAAAAATGGGGAAAAAATGGGGAAAATCAATGGGGAAATGACCTCGTTTTGAGAGATGATGGGATCATCCACAGGGAGCTGGGAAAATGGGGAAAAAAAACAGGGAAATTGGGAAAAATGGGAAAAAATGGGAAAAAATTGGAAAAAATGGGAAAAAACGGGGGAAAAAATGGGGAAAATCAATGGGGAAATGACCTCATCTTGAGAGATGATGGGATCGTCCATAGGGAGCTGGGAAAATGGGGAGAAAAACAGGGAAATTGGGAAAAAATGGGGAAAAATGGGAAAAAAATGGGAAAACATGGGGAAAAAATGGGGAAAAATGGGGAAAAAATGGGGAAAATCAACGGGAAAATGACCTCGTCCTGAGAGATGATGGGATCATCCACGGGGAGCTGGGAAAATGGGGAGAAAAACAGGGAAATTGGGAAAACTGGGAAAAAATGGGAAAAAATGGGAAAAAATGGGGAAAACAGGGGAAAAATGGGGAAAAACAAGGAAAAAATGGGGAAAATCAATGGGGAAATGAGCTCGTCTTGAGAGATGATGGGATCATCCACAGGGAGCTGGGGAAAATGGGGAAAAAACCAGGGAAATTGGGAAAAATGGGAAAAAATGGGAAAAAAATGGGAAAAAATGGGGGAAAAAATGGGAAAAATTGAGAAAAAATGGGGGAAAAATGGGGGAAAATGGGGGAAAATCAATGGGGAAATGACCTCGTCCTGAGAGATGATGGGATCATCCACAGGGAGCTGGGAAAATCGGGAGAAAAACAGGGAAATTGGGAAAAATGGGAAAAAATGGGGAAAAAAATGGGAAAAAATGGGGAAAAAATGGGAAAAAATGGGGGAAAAATGGGGGGAAAATGGGGAAAATCAATGGGGAAATGACCTCGTCTTGAGAGATGATGGGATCGTCCACAGGGAGCTGGGAAAATGGGGAAAAAAACAGGGAAATTGGGAAAAAACAGGGAAAAAATGGGAAAAAAAGGAAAAAAAATGGGGAAAAATGGGGAAAAAATGGGGAAAATCAATGGGGAAATGACCTTGTCTTGAGAGATGATGGGATCGTCCACGGGGAGCTGGGGAAAATGGGTAAAAATGGGAAAAAAATGGAGAAAAAAATGGGAAAAATGGGAAAAAATTGGGAAAATCAGGAAAAAATGTGGAAAACCCAAGCAAAGTGGGAAAAAATCATGAAAAAATGGGAGGAAATGGGAAAAAATGGGAAAAAAATGGGGGAAAATGGGAAAATCCAAGGAAAAATGGGAAAATCACAAGAAAAAAATGGGAAAAAACAGTGGGGAAATGGGGGGAAAATGGGAAAACCCCAGGAAAAATGGGAAAAATCCAGGAAAAATGGGAGAAATCCAGGAAAAATGGGAAAAATCCAGGAAAAAATGGGGGAAAATGGGAAAACCAGAGGAAAATGGGAAAACCCCAGGAGAAATGGGGAAAAACCCAGAAAAAATGGGAAAAATCCAGGAAAAATGGGAAAAATTCAGGAAAAATGGGAAAAAAGGGGGGAAAATGGGAAAAACCTCGGAAAAATGGGGGGAAAACAGGGAAAACCCAAAGAAAAACGGGGAAAACCAAGGGAAAATGGAAAAAATGGGGAAAAAACGAGGGGAAAATGGGAAAACTGGGGAAAATCCAAAGAAAAACGGGGAAAACCAAGGGAAAACGGGGGAAAAAATGGGAAAAAAAACGATGAAAAATGGGGAAAAATGGGGAAAATCCAAAGAAAAACGGGGGGGAGAAACCAAGGGGAAAACGGGGAAAAAATGGGGAAAAAACGAGGAAAAATGGGGGAAAACCGGGGAAAACCCAAAGAAAAACGGGGAAAACCCAGGGAAAAATGGGAAAAAAAGAGGAAAAATGGGATAAAACGAGGAAAAATGGAAAAAAATGGGAAAATCCAAAGAAAAACGGGGAAAACGGGGAAAAACCTCGGAAAAATAGGAAAAAGCGGGGAAAATGGGAAAATCCAAGGAAAAATGGGAAAAATCCAGGAAAAAATGGGAAAAAAGGGGGAAAATGGGAAAAACCTCGGAAAATGGGAAAAAGGGGGGAAAATGGGGGGGGAAATGGCAAAACCACAGGAAAAATGGGAAAAACCCAGGAAAAATGGGGGAAAACGGGGAAAACTCAGGGAAAATGGGAAAAAATTGGGAAAAAAATGGGGGAAAAAATGAGGGAAAATGGGAAAACCGGGGAAAATCCAAAGAAAAACGGGGAAAACCCAGGAAAAATGGGAAAAAACCTAGGAAAAATGGGAAAAAAGGGGGGAAAATGGGAAAATCCAAGGAAAAATGGGAAAAAAAGGGAAAAAACGAGGAAAAATGGGAAAAATGGGGAAAACCCAAAGAAAAATGGGGAAAACCCAGGAAAAATGGGAAAAAGGGGGGGGAAAATGGGAAAATCCAAGGAAAAATGGGAAAAAAACGAGGAAAAATGGAAAAAACTGGGAAAATCCAAAGAAAAACGGGGGAAAACCAAGGGAAAACGGGGGAAAAAATGGGGAAAAAAACGAGGAAAAATGGGAAAACCGGGGAAAATCCAAAGAAAAACGGGGAAAACCCAGGAAAAACAAGGAATAAATGGGAAAGCCAGGGAAAACCCAGGGAAACCCTCAGGAAAAGCGGAGCCCCAGCAGCCCCAGGGAACCCGAAATTCCAGAAGGTTCCGGCGCTCACCCCCCGCCCCGGCGCTGCCCGCGGGGCCCCGCGAGTGCGTGAGCAGCGCGCGGCACTCCCGGAACAGCGGCGGCGGCTGCCGGGAATCCTCGGCATGGCCGAAATTCCCCAAATCGCCCGGGTTATCGGCGGAATTCTCCTCATCCTCATCGCGGGCCCGGCTGTCGCCGCTGGTGACGGTGGCGAGCGCCGAGAGCGAGGCCGCGAGCTGGGCCCAGGGGGCGGGGCTTCGTGTGGAGTGGGCGGGGCTTCGTGTGGAGTGGGCGGGGCTTCGCTCGGGGTTGGCGGGAGTTGCCTCAGGGTTTCTCTCGGGGTTTTTGTCGGGGTTTTTGTCGGGATTTCGGTCGGGATTTCGGTCGGGGTTTTTGTCGGGGTTCCGGTCGGGGTTTGCGGGGTTCTTGCGCAGCACCAGAAGGAAGCGAACGGTCTCGCCCAGGTACAGGTGGTTCCGGCGAGGGAGGGCGCGGTAACCGGAGGAATCTCCCGCCAAAAATTCCCGCGGAGGGAAGGGGACGGCGGGGAAGTACATGGAGTAATCGCACTGGGATTCCATGGGGAAAAACTGGGGGGAAATGGGGGGGATTCTAGGGGGAAATAGGGGAAATTCTAGGGGGAAATGGGGGAAATAATGGGGGAAATAGGAGGGGAAATGGGGGAAATTCTAGGGGAAAATAGGAGGGGAAATGGGCAAATAATGGAGGAAATAGAAGAAATAATGGGGGAAATAATGGGGGAAATTCTAGGTGGAAATGGGGGAAAAATGGGGGAAATAGGAGGGGAAATGGGGGAAATTCTAGGGGAAAGTCTAGGGGGAAATGGGGGAAAAATGCGGGGAATAGGAGGGGAAATGGGGGAAATAATGGGGGGAAATAGGAGGGGAAATGGGGGAAATTCTAGAGGAAAGTCTAGGGGGAAATGGGGGAAAAATGCGGGGAATATGGGGGAAATTCTAGGGGAAAATAGGAGGGGAAATAGGGGAAATAATGGGGGAAATTCTAGGGGGAAATTCTAGGGGAAAATGGGGGAAATTCTAGGGGGAAATGGGGGAAAATTCTAGGGGGAAAATGGGGAAAAATGGCGGAAATAGGAGGGGAAATGGGGGGAATAAGTGGGGGGAATAGGAGGGGAAATGGGGGAAAAATGGGGGGAATAGGAGGGGAAATGGGGGAAATAGGAGGGGAAATGGGGGAAATTCTAGGGGGAAATGGGGGGAATAAGTGGGGGGAATAGGAGGGGAAATGGGGGAAAAATGGGGTGAATAAATGGGGGGAATAGGAGGGGAAATGGGGGAAATAATGAGGGAAATAATGGGGGAAATTCTAGGGGGAAATAGGGGAAATAATGGGGGAAATAGGAGGGGAAATAGGGGAAATAATGGGGGAAAAATTGGGGGAAATTCTAGGGGAAAATGGGGGAAATTCTAGGGGGAAATGGGGGAAAATTCTAGGGGGAAAATGGGGAAAAAATGGGGGAAATAGGAGGGGAAAATGGGGAAAAATGGGGGGAATAAGTGGGGGGAATAGGAGGGGAAATGGGGGAAATAATGGGGGAAAAATGGGGGGAATAGGAGGGGAAACAGGGGAAATAATGGGGGAAATAGGAGGGGGGAAATGGGAAAGAATGGGGGAAAAAAGGGGAAAAGTGGAGGGGAAAAAAGAGAAAAAATTGGAAAAACAATGGAAAGAAAATGGGGGCGATAATGGGGAAAATAGGAGGGGAAATGGGAAAATAATGGGGAAGGAGGAGGAAAAATTGAGGGAAAAAAAAGGAAAAATGGAGAAAAGAATGGGGAAAACTAGGAGGGAAAATAGGGAAAACTGGGAGGGGAAATGGGAAAAATAGGAAAAATGAGGGGAAATGGGAATAAAATAGAGAAAAAAATGGGGGAAAAGGGAAATTAAGGAAGAAAATTAGGGGAAAGGGAAAAAAGATTGGGATAAATGGAAAAATTGGAGAGAAAATTTGGAAAATTGAGAAAAAAAAAGGAGGAAAAATGGGGAAAATATCTGGGGATTGAGAGGTTAAATCCTGAGGGAATTTCAGGAATATTGGGGGGAAAATGAGGGAAAAATATGGGGGAGAAAGGTGGGGATGGAGGGATTAAATCCCGTCAGAATTTCCGGAATTTTGGGGTTAAATCCTGGCAGAATTTCGGGAATTTTTGGGGAATTTTGGCAGGAGAATGGGAGTTAAATCCCAGAAAAAAAAAAAAAAAATCCGTGAGTTTTGGAGAAATATTGAGGGAATTTCGGGGTTAAATCCGAGAAAAATTCTGGGAATTTTCGGGAATTTTGGAGGAATATTGGGGAAGTTTTGGGGTTAAATCCTAGAAAAATTCTGGGAATTTTGGGGAAATTTTGGGGGGGGGGATAATGGGAGTTATAAATCCCAGAAAAATTCCGGGAATTCTGGGGAAATGCTGAGGGAATTTTGGGGTTAAATCCCGAGAAAATTCTGGGAATTTTGAGGCGATCCCAGGGACAAGAACGAGAGAAAATCCCGCGGATTTTGGGGCCTTAAACCCCGAGGAAATCCCGAGAATTTTCGGGAATTTTATGGGGATAACGGGACTTAAATCCCGGGGATACCGGGAGGATAACGAGGGGTCTGGGGGGACGCAAAAACCGGGAATTTGGGGGGTTAAATCCCAAGAAAATTCGGGAATACCGGGAGGATAACGGAGGGTCCGGGGGGGTCTCGGGCCTGGTCCGGGATTACCGGGAGGGTCCTGGGGGGGGTCTCGGGCCTGGTCCGGGATTACCGGGGGGGCTCCCGAAGTTACCGAAGGGGTCCCGGGGTTACCGGGAGGGGGTCGCGGGCCTGGTTCGGGATTACCGGGAGGATCCAGGGAGGGGGTCCCGGCTCCGGTCCGGGATTAGCGGGGGGGTCCCGGAGTTAGCGGGGGGTTCTGAGGGGGGGGAGGGTCCCGGCTCCGGTCCGGGGTTACCGGGGGGGGATCCCGGAGGGTCCCGGCTCCGGTCCGGGCCCGTTCAGCGCTTCCGGGTGCGGTCTGGCGAATGCGTACGGCAACGCCGGCACGCATGGCGGCGTCCATGGGTGTATTGCGCATGCGCAATGAGAACGGAGACGTACGGAAGTGCCGGTAAATATGGCGGCGCCCATGCGTGTATAGCGCATGCGCAATAGGGATAAAGAAGCACGGAAGTTTTTCCATATATGGCGGGTGTGTGCGTCTTCAGTGCGCATGCGCGGAAGACAAACGGGGGAAGGTTCATTTTGGATGTTCCGGAGTCCTAAAAATTTGGGGGTTGGACCCCCAAAATTCAGTTCTGGACGGGTTGAGGCCCTCAGAATCGCTCTAGGACCCCAAAATCGCCGTCTGAAGCCCCAAAAGAGGAGGGTCAGCGAAAAGCGGGTCAGTGACCCCCCTGAACCCCAAGATCGGGACTCTTCAAATCTCTCAAATTCCCTCACATTCGGTGCCTGGAATCCCCCAAAGTCGAAACACTCAGGACCCCGCAAATTTGTGTTCGTCACCTACATTTGAGGCTTTAAAGAGAGGATTTGGAAAGGGATGTTTGGGGGTTCAGAGCGCTCCGGACACAAAAGTTGGGTGAATTAGCGGGATTTCTGTGCGATTCGGGGGGATTTAAAACTTTAATCGTATTAATAAAGAACTGGCCAATCACAGCTCGCCGCACCAGCGAGGGGCGGGGCCTTACGCCCACTCAACCAATCGGGTTGCGCAATAAACCGTTGACTAATCACAGCTTTGTGGAGCTTTTGATTGACAGGCAACTTCGCTATCCTATCCAATAGAATTACGGGGCGGGTTTAGAGGGGCGGAATTTTCTGGCGTCTCAGCCAATCACGGCATACGAAGGGCGTTTCCCGCCGATTTCCCCTCAGCGCGGGAGCCGCCATGGAGCCGCTCCGGCCTTGGCTCGTCCCGTTCCTGCTGCCCGAGCACTGCTTCGACCGATTCTTCCTCCGCTTCCAGCTCCTCGATGGTGATGGAGGGGCCGCGGGCAGCGAGTTTGGGGCTTTTCGGGGCTTTTCGGGCGGTTTTAAGAGGGATTTTGGGGCTCCTTTAAGGGCTGTGGGGGCGGCCGCCATTTTGGTTACGGGCGGGAGTTGTGACGGACGCCGCCATCTTGGCTTTGGGCGCGGGAAAGAAGCGCCGCCATCTTTGTTTTGGGTGTGAGGCGATGTCGCCGCCATCTTTGTTTTGGGTGTGGGGGATAGCAAATTTTTGAGGAATTTTGAGAATTTTTTTTAGGGATTTTGGGGCTTTTCGGGGCTATTCGGGCCGTTTTGAGGAGAATTTTGGGGCACCTTCAAGGTCTATGGGGCGGCCGCCATTTTGGTTACGGGCGAGAGTTGAGAGGGGCGCCGCCATCTTGGTTTTGGGCGCGGGAAAGAAGCGCCGCCATTTTTGTTTTGGCTATGAGGCGTTGCCGCCGCCATCTTTGTTTTGGGTGTGG